TGTTAGTCCCTTAGCCTCAATTAACTTAAGAGGGGGGGTGAATTAAGTTTACTAAATTTCCTCTTATAAAAACTTTTCCAATTACTTCTTAATCAATTTATTTCCTTAGACAAATTTGTATGTAAAGAATGAATGATGATGCAAACTACACAATTATAATTAATAACAAGAAATTAAAAGTGAAGGGAAAGAAGAATTGCAAACTTGATTTTATACTGGTTCGGCCAATCCAGCCTACATCTAGTCCTCAAGTCTCCCACTTGAGATTTCCACTACTCTTGTAAACCTTACAAGAAAATGAATCCTCCAACACCTCGGAACTCCCTTTCCTTGTGTTGAGATTCAAACACCAACAAGGAGAACAACACTTTCTCCTTTACAGATCAATAGATGAATTTGAATGAAGTAGAACAACTCTCTTTTGTAGAGTGAATTTTACACTTTGTTGATCTAGTAGAACTCTTTAGATAATGTTTGCAAATTGATTTTGGCCAAGTGATTTGTAAAGATAATTTTCACAATAGAGTTCGTAACCTTTTTCTAAAAAATTATTGGTATTTATAGATGATTGTTTCATAGGTCATGACTTTTCATGAAGAGTTGTGTCTTTCGAAATTTTGCAGAAAATAGGCTCTGGTAATCGATTACAGGGAATGGGTAATCGATTACTAGAGCACGTTTTAATAAGTGAATTTTAAACAAAGGAGTTTCATTCTCTGGTAATCGATTACAGGGAATGGGTAATCGATTACTAGAGCACGTTTTAATAAGTGAATTTTAAACAAAGGAGTTTCATTCTCTGGTAATCGATTACCATCGATTACCAGACTCTTAAAACAATAATTACCTTATTAAAACTTAAAATATAGAAAACTTTTATTTTCAAAACCTTATTAAAATAAAAGATTATATTTGGGTTTTCTTGAAATTCTTTATTTTAAATGGCCAAGAATCTTATGCAATATTTCTAAAGATTTCTTTTTTACATATAAAGCTAGGTTGACAATACTTATCTAAAATACTTTGAGATTTTTGTTTCTTGATCACCTTGCTTTAACTTGACCTCTTGTTTTCTATAATCTCTTTGGCATCATCAAAATTCTTTACATACGTTCTTCCACATTCTTCCCCTTTTTGTTGATAACATACTGTAGATGGAAAGAAACATAAAACAGTGTATATCGATCACTCCCCCTTAGTCTCCCCCTTAATAAATCATTGTTTAATGTTAATTTTATATAAAAAATTGAATTCAAATAGATAGTTGTAGTGATTAGATTAAATTGGTCAAATCAAAATATCCAATTTTTGATCAGCAATAAATTATCCATTTTTCTTCTTTCCTTTCCTCACCCCCTTTGGCAACATCAAAAGGAATGAGACAATATATAAAAAAGAAATAGAATAAGATAAACAAACACCACTCAGAACGGAAGTGAAATATGTCCTAATAGCAAAATAGTCAGAGTCAAACGTGCAGAATTATCCTAGAACATACTAATCAAAAAGTTCAAAAATTGATTAAAAATAGCCCAAAATATAAGATAAGCTAAAACAAAAACTATCAGAATCACAGTCAACTAGCTACTCGGAAGGGCGGCGAAGAGATTTTACTTCCTCCTCAAGTCGAGTCATGCGAGTGTCAAGAGAATCAAAACATTCACCAACATAGAAACGGAGATTTCTAATTTCATTGAGAACATCCGAGAGAAGTGCTAATGAAGGATCTTGAAAAGGTGGTGATAGAGTTCTATCATCAGTGTCAACTGCTTGAAAATCCCGCTTCCTGACCCAGTTAGGTATTTTCCAGTGTTTTCTTGTACCCAAAAGAAGCAATTGCATTTGCCCCAATCTCAAAGACCCTCTTAACTGGAACCCATGTTTCATCTTCCAGAGGAACTTTAAAATGTTCCAAAATAGTAGTTACAAAATGTGGGTATGGAAGAGAAGCATTAACCCGCAAGGCCTTTTTCATTCGACTCCTAATCAGATGAGCCCAGCTAAATTCCCGGCCACTGATTAGAGCCCATATCAAGATTAAGTCCTCCTCTAAAGCCTGTGCAAGGTTAGTCGTGCGGGGAAGCAGTACCCGAACAATTATATAATGCATGATGTGATAATCAAATTTAATTAATCCAGCCACCAATCATCCAGTCATGTCAGCATCATCCACACAAATCATACTTCGGGCATTGGGATGGGAATATTCTGGTTTCCATGTATCCGGAATTGTTCCCTCAAATAGAGTACCCTGTTCTGTCTCCTCTTCATGATAGAGTGGTTCAAATGAAGAGTACCTTGGGCTTAGAGAGCTCACTGGTCTTCAAGTTGTCCAACTTTTCTTGTATGCCCCTGGCCATAGCTCTAGTGACTGGGCCCTTGGCCCATAGTTTGCCATCCCCTCCCTTGTGAAAAGGATTTGTCCTCAAATCTGTAGGGTCAACCTCCTCATTATCATAAACAACCTCAAAAGGTGAGATTTTGGTAGTCTTATGAACTACCCTATTATAGGCAAATTCAATATGGGGCAAGTACTCATCCCTAGATTTGTGGTTACCCTTAAAGACTGCCCTTAACATGGTAGATAGGGATCTATTAACTACTTCTGTTTGCCCACCAGTTTGAGGATGGCAAGTAGTTGAGAAAAGTAGTTTAGTTCCTAGCCTACTCCAAAGAGTTTTCCAAAAATGGCTAAGGAACTTAGTATCCCTATCTGATACAATTATTTTGGGTAGACCATGAAGTTTAACCACTTCCTTGAAGAAGAGTCTTGCTATGTTGCATGCATCATCTATCTCGTGACAGGGTATAAAATGAGTTATTTTACTAAATCTGTCCACTATCACAAAGATAGAATCTATGCCTCCCTGGGTTCTGGGCAAGCCCAATATAAAATCCATACTGATATCAACCCATGGAGAGTTAGCAACTGGCAAGGGTGTGTAGGAGCCATGAGGCATTACTTTAGACTTTGCTTGCAAATAAGCTATACATCTAGAGCAAAACCTCTCAACATCCCTTCTCATGTGGGGCCAAAAGAATTTTTCTTCTAGAAAGCTTAGAGTCTTTTCAACTCCAAAGTGCCCCATGAGACCACCTTCACGACTTTCTTTAACAAGGAGTTTTCTAATGGATTCTTGGGGTATACAAATTCGTCCTTCCTTGTACAAGTACCCCTCAGAAACATAGAAACCTCCTTGAGGTTTTACTAAACAATGGGTATATGATTCATTAAACTCAGAGTCATTGGAATACAACTCCTTAATGTGATCAAATCCCAAGATTTGAGATCCAAGGGAGACTAGTAAAATATGTCTCCTAAAAAGGGCATTAGCTATAATATTGTTTTTCCCTTTCTTGTATTTGATCACATATGAGAATTGTTCCAAGAACTCTACCCATTTAGCATGCTTTTTGTTGAGTTTACCTTGACCCCTCAAATATTTTAGTGACTCATGGTCACTATGAATGACAAACTCC